AATTTATTATAGTAATAATGGAACTGCTGCAACGTCACTCCGCATAAGATTCATGGCGGGAGCGGAGTTTCGGCGTTACCCTCGCCGTGTTCATTGCCCACATTTCACATCACCTACCATGATCAGTTATTTGCTCTGCTATACAACTTCCACTCATTTCACATCGATAATTCGCTGTTCCCCTGTGGTGACTGCTGAAAACATGTGGATCGCTTATTAGTCCAAAGTATTTTCTAGAATCGTCAATCGGTGTTATCTGGAAGAAACCACTCGGTACATTGCAACGGTCACCCAAGTGCATAGGGTAGGGTGGGGTAATTTGAACATGAGGGGCAATTTGAACATAGTGTGAATAACACAAAATTACGGAAAATCCTAAGTGGCATGACAATAAGACCAATTAGAGAAAATATCGTAACTAAAGGGGCTATCATATGCACGGGGTTTAAAGTTCCAGGGAATGAAGATGTTGACGCACAGTGTAAAAAATCAATTTCGCAAGGAAAAACGCCTAACAACACTGTCATTGCAACCAGCACAAAATCTTGCATTGCTAGCGCATAATACGCAACGGCTTTTGTTGTACAATAACTTAATCAGTGCCTTCAATCCAAGAAATTTGCTTTTGAACCCTGTTTTTTAACCCGCGCCCCGCTGGGCTATTCAGCCATACGCTACGCGCCCTGCTGGGGGGGGGGGGGCAGATTCTGCCCCCCCCCCTGTCTAACTTCCGAACCGATGGCCGTAGAAAGACGGGGAAAACGGCAATCGAAAGCTCTCAACAAGCGGATCTAAAGAGCCCAATTTTTTTTGCAGAGGTCAGGTCAACGTCAGGTCAAGGGTACAAAATGCAAGTTTCTACAGTGTCGGCCTTGCACCGTAGTTGCCGAAGAATGGACTGAGACTGATTGCCCAAAACGTGTTCTTAGACTACCAAGACAATATTCGTTGCATACAATGTCATTCCAAGGTCAAGGTCAAGGTCAGGTCAGGTCAGGTCAGGTCAGGTCACCCAAAACAAAATATAGAAAAGGGCATGTGCGACACATGTTTTATGGGTCATTTTACTCATAGAATTCAATAGGCACACTCAATAAGTGATATGGACCACCTCTGGATGAATTTCAGGTCGAGGTCAGGTCAAGGTCAGGTCAAGTAAGGTCAAATTTTGAAGTTGGTTGTTAAGGCCTAAAAAGGTATCTATCTGATGCAGTTTTTCACGGCAAATCGAATGATGCTATTTTTGTTTCCGTACGAGTTCTAGAACTTCCAAAAAAAAAAAACATTTTTCATAATTTTTGTGTGTCGTGACGTCATAAAATTTTAAATAACTCCCACATTTTTGAACCGATTCTTCTAAAAATTGGTATGTAGGTAAACATAGACCACTTCTCTGACATATATTCCGGTTTTTCCGATGCACTCAAAATTTTGGATTTTATAATTATTTTCCCAAAAAAGTAAGTTTTTTGAAAAATTGGGCCAAAATCCAAAATTAAAAAAAAAAAACGAGATAGCCATTTGATAGACAAAGGAGAATCACGTATAACCTTTTTTTTGTTGCGTCTTGATTCCTTTAAAAATGAAGATGTTAGCGGCGTTTGAAATTTTGCCGTTTTTGAGGCGAAAATGGCGAACATGACGTCACTAAAACGTCAATTTCTCAAAAAATCGCCGGCGGATTTCGCTCAAATTTTCAGGGAACGTGTCAAATTGATGTATGATAAGGTACTGAATGTTTGACGTAGCTGGCGTAACGCGTTTAGAAGTTATTGGCCAAAAACAGGAGGAGGGGGCAGATTCTGCCCCCCCCCCAGCGGGGCGCGGGTTAAAATGGCAAAATAACTTTTAGCGTCGGTTAATTTGAACATAGTGTGAGAATTTCAACGAAGACAGGGATAGCTCCGAAAAAACAACGCTCCCAGTTTTTTATTTGCCAATATTTTCAACCCACAGCAGAAGCAGGATAAGTGATGCCAGTTTTAGAAAATTTACGTCTAATATCCGTCTAATGTCCGGCATTTTCGTTTATTTTCCGTCCAAAAATGTTAAAGTCAACTATTTGTCCAAATATGTCCAAAAATTATGCAGCTATGAACACTCAAAACCGTCATTTATATTGCTTATCATGTAATTTTACCAGCCGAAAAATGTTCATTATATTGAGAGCATTACAAGCTTTCCATTCGCCAATCAATGATACGCACGATTACTTGATAAAAATGCTTAAGTGTGGCAGGCCATTGTCCAATGTTTTCCAGACTACTATACCTTTGTGCAATCAATTCCGAATTGGACATTATAAAGAATCGGAACTCCGAATGTCCAGGTCGGCCAGGTTCCGATTGGCACCACTATAACAGATGAAGTAAGGTTTGGTAGTTTTTATCGAACGGAGATGATAGACGTTCTATTAATCGAAGAGAGGCGAATTCTGTCAACTAACCTGTGTGCAGCGTGCAGATATTGATACTTTGCAACTGTTATTTTTGTTGTTGTGTTGATTTTTCAAATGAAGGTATGTTTAGAATTGCTCTGCCTATTCGTTTATGGTTCAAACAACATCGGTGCTGGCGAGACTATCGTTTTTATGGCAGGTAAAGGCAGTATGTTCAAATTACCCCACGGTGGGGCAATTTGAACACACCATGACTTGGTGGAGAAGTGATGCTATGCTAGTCAAGGTATGCTCGGCTCGTCCAAAAATGAGGTTTGCATGGTGAAAGCAAGTGACTCATGCGCTACTGAAACAGTTTTTCTTCATCCAGGGTTGAGCTGGAATTTGGTACAACGGAGAAGACGTAAAAATATGTTCAAATTACCCCACACTACCCAAACCTACTTGGCTAATGTAAAAAAACACACCTTGCCTGAAACAAAAAGTCAAACATTTTTACTAAGCACTTCGCAATGAAAGCAAATAACTGCAGCTTTCACACAATGAGCCCTCGCATGTGTAGGGAGGGGGTGGGGTCGGATGACCCCCCATGGTTTTTCGCAAATACCTCGCGTAAAAAGCGACTGATCGCGACGAAACTTTCAGTACATTCGAGTTGATCAATTTGACACCTATTCTGAAAAGTTAATGACCCTAACCCAAGTGACCTTTGACCTGTGACCTAATTCTCGAGGCCATGTTTGGCCGGAATCGCGATTCGGCGTATGTCGGTTCGCATTAGCCACGCGTTTGCAAGCTTCTCGTGGTTTCAAACGCTCAAACATGAGATTTGATGTTGCTCCCATGCATTTGGGTGGATGTCAAGGTCACCTGAAGGTCAGGTAAGGTCACCTTTGGTGACCTTACCTTAAAAAGTGAACCGAGGTCACCTTTGGTGACCTCGGTTCACTTTTTCGAGCTGTACATGCTTCTAGGCTAATTTTTGGAGCTGAATTCGAATTTAGCAACCATTTGAATATTTACGAAGCAGTTTTGGTGCCTTCGTAACATGTTACGAAGCTGTCAGAGGCGGTTGACATGTACTACAAATACCCGTCACGACGTCTCCTGGTTGACCTGACCTGACCTGACCCGACCTGGGATGATGCATGAACACATCATCTATGATCAAAACTAACACGATATTCGTGATCAGCACCCCGAAAACCCCCATAGCAGCCACACTTTACCAACTTTCTAACAGGTCCCGATTTTCCCGACTTTGGGTCATTGACCTGACCTGGAACGTCAATCAATGGCCTAGGACATTAACCCGCGCCCCGTTGGGCTCTGCCGAGCAACGCGCCCTGTTGGGGGGGGGGGGCAATTTCCCCCCTAAGATCTCGAGAACCACGCGACAAGAACCTAGCGACAAGCGGCAAACAATGTTGGACAGCCCTTTCAGGGAACTACCTTGTGACCAAATTTTATTGACCTAGATCAAACCGACGACGTCACAGGTCAGGTCAAAGGTTGAATTTTCACCGTTTACAGGCATTTCAAGAAATGCGCTGTAAAATCGAGTAAAATGCATTTCATTGAAAATCATGGATGGGGAAATGTTCTTCAAACACATATTTTGCTATTTGGGGTCACTGATACCAGGTCAGGTCACAAAGGTCAGGTCACTGGGGGGTCACAATATGAAAGTGTCGTGTAATACATGTTTTATGGTCCATTTTACATGACAAATGCGATTATGTGGGTCCGACAGCCTGTGGGGCCAGCTTAGGTCACGTTTTGGTCAAGGTCAGTGTTAGCACCGGCGGCTGCAGGCCGGGCCGCCCGGACCACCGAGCGGGCCATGCGGCGGCCGGCCGACCACGTGGCGCCTGGGGCTATGCCGGCACTGAGCTGGCCCCATAGCAAGCAGCCCGGTGATTGGCTGCTTGGGCTCCTGCCCTCGGGGCGCATGCGAGGTGACCTCGGGTCAGCGCGCGGTTATTGAGGGTAGTTCGCTCTGGATGCTCGGCGGGGAAGTGCTCGCTGTGTGGGTGGAAGTGGTGCTCTGGCTGTGGTGTGGTGGTGGTGCACAATACAGCAAGTGAAAATATCTTAACTGGTGTGGAGAGGAGCTGGACCAGTGGAAAAGGGGACGCGACAGTGAACAGCAGCGAGTCTTCTCAGCGTGCGAGTAGCCGATCATTTCCTTTCATCCGGGACTCATAACACGGCCTCTTCCGGGGTGTGTGAGGGAGGCGGCCACAGTGTCTCGCCATCGAGTCACTGAGCTTAAACTCGTTCCCCGGGTCTTGCCATCGAGGCTCGGGTGCGGGGTCTCCGCTCAGACAGGGGTGCGACCAGTCGGCTCCGGCTAACCTTGCCATCGAGGCGCCGGAGTATCAGTTGATCTGTCCGATTACAGTGGTCTCGCCATCGAGAGGCTGGAATCGGGCAGCGGCTGGCGTCTTCCTCACCATCCTGATCTACCCATCGCTCTCCTACAGTCCTTGTCTATCATCCGGCTAAATAAGTGTCGTTGGCGTGTGAAATACCAGAGGACACGTGGCGACATTTCTGGTCCTCCGGGCCGGATTGCGACCAGTGAGCTGAACAGGAGAAGATGGGGATAGAAAAAGAAGAGGCAAAGGATGTCAAACGGCCCGATCCCACTGCAGATGGAGCTTTTAAGGATGTTAGAGATCAAGAGCTTGCTGGTCTGCGACGACTGCGTGGTATCAAGAGGGCTGTCGTGACGAGGGTGTCAAAGGTGTTAGAGGCAGAGATAGCAAGACAGCGGAACCGCGATTGCATCCAGGAGGTAAACGGAAGGCTGAAAGAAGCTTTTTCTGATTTGAGAAAAGTTCATCAGGAGTATGAAACCAAACTCAATGACGCAGAACTGGAGGAAGCTCAGGGATACGCTGATAATCTTGAAGAAGAAGAGTCGGCTATTCGGGGGAAGATCCAGCTGTACCTTCAAGAGTTGGATGAAGCCAAGTCATCAGCTGCCACTTCCCGTCACACTCGAAGTCGTGCCAAGTCACACACGTCAGCAGGCACCGCAGTTTCAGTTCGATCCAGAGAGGCTGCTGTGGAACTGGAGGACGCTGATCGCAAGCTGCGGGACCTCCAAGCTCAAGTGGAAGAGAGTCGTCGGAACATGAAAGAGAGACAGGAATTAGATGAACGCGACAGGGTGCTACAGCTCAGAATAGCTGAAGAGGCCCGCGACAGAGCTGCTCGGAAGGTGCACATGTATCAGGCTGCGGAAGACGAATTGAACTGGGATCGTCGGCATGATTTCGACGAAGCAGCTGTCAAAGGAAGAAAGGCATCTGCTGAAGGTGCGGGGGTAGATCAAGCTGCCGAACCACCGCATCGCTCGAGCGTACCCGACTATGTGCCTGGTCCAAGACCACAAGGACCTAAAGCTGCTCCGGAAGTGGAGGTGGATGGTTCATCTCTGAACCCAGACAACTGGACATCAAACAGCAAAGGGCAGGAGAAGCACGGGCATCCACCTCCTGGGATGTCAGCTTTTACCAACAGTGTTCCACGTCTTAATTTACCGCGGTTCACAGGCGAACCAAGTGAGTGGCCGCGCTGGATCAGTCTCTTCAGAGCACTGGTTCACGATCAGGCATCTCTCTCTGACACGGAGCGGATGGCGCATCTACAACAAGCAGTAGATGGAGTTGCCCATCAAGCCATCGAGGGATTCTTGTTCGATGGCAAGATGTATCACCAGGCGTTGGCAAGGCTGCACGAGCGTTTTGGTCGAGAAGGTGACATCAGCCAAGCATATCTCAGCTCCATGTTCACGACACCAGCTCCTTCAATCAACAACATCGCCTCAGTGGAGAGGTTCAGTTCTGCTGTCAGCAACACTGTGCTGACGCTGCGCGCTCTGAACCACTACAATGATCTGAGAGCCATCGAGAACCTGCGTCGAGTAGTATTGAAGCTTCCTGCGGAGTTGTCCTACCAGTGGGGACGAGAAGTGCATCAGATGCACCCCAAGCAGCCCGATCTGGAGATCTTCAGCAAGTGGCTGGAGACAGAGACTGCCATCTTGAGAAACTCGGCCAACCACGACCGCGATCCAGAAAGAAAAAGGCCATCCGCGAGTGCACGGGAGACCTCGGCGCGACGAACAACTCTGACTACGTCGGCCACGTCTTCCCAGACGGAAAACAACCGACGTCGCTGGTTCTGTGTCCTGTGCAAGGAACAGCACAAGCTTCAGGATTGCACGGAGTTCAAGTCGAAGACGGTGGAGGAGAGGCTGGTCGTAGTGAGCAAAGAACGGCTGTGTTGGGGCTGCCTGAACAAGGGTCACTTCATGAGGGATTGCCGCTCTGCAAGACGATGCAACTTGAATGGATGTAATGCATCTCATCACCGACTCATACATGTGGACAGAAGCGCCGCTTGTAATGAAGAAAGCCAAACAGAACCAAAAACAGTGGCACGAGAAGGAAGTCGCATCGTCGGCACGGCTCTCACAGAGACGACAGACACACTGCTGCAGTTGGTGCCGGTGCGGATTCACGGCCCAAACGGGGAGAGAGACGTAGTAGCACTGCTGGACCCGGGAGCGCAGACATCGCTCTGCTGTGAAGATGTCTTGGAAGAGGTTGGGGTCCCTGGAGTCCGAGAGAATCTGCAGCTACAGAACATCGAAGGAAGCGGTACCAGACAGTCGTCTCTTCGAGTTCAGCTGACGGTCAGTCCTCTGAGCACAGCGACCAGCAGAAATCGAATCGTCGTGCCCGAGGTGTGGTCTGTGCCAAGGTTGAACGTGGCCCCACCCAGCATGAGTAGCAAGCAGCTTCGCAGCTGGAAGCACTTGCAGGACCTGGACCTACAGCAGTACAACGGCGCACACGTCGAGCTTCTACTTGGTGCCAACATTCTGGAAGCTGTGCTGCAGCGAGAGGTCAGGGTGGGAGGCCCCGGAATGCCCGTCGCTATCCGGACAGACTTTGGCTGGACCCTGACGGGATCGATATCCACCCTGATTCCAAGCACAATGCGGCAAGTCATGTTCGTGCGTCAACGTGCTCCCGAAGACGCTCTGGAGGGTCTGCAAGAGTTGGTCCAAGACTGGTGGACGACCGAGGCCTTCGGCACCATGATTAACAGCTCTGATGCACGATCTCAAGAAGATCTCAGAGCTATGCGAATCTTGGATCAGCAGACCAGGAAGGTGGGGGACAGATATGAAGCTGGACTTCTGTGGGGTGAAGACGAACCGATGTTGCCGGACAACTGGAACCAAGCGTACCGACGTCTTCAGTCCATCGAGAGAAAACTCGACAAGCAGCCAGAACTGGCTACAAGGTACCAAGCCATCATCGACGGATATGTGAAGGATGGTCACGCAAGGAAGCTCTCAGCTGAAGAAGCGGACGAACCGAAGGAGAAGCGTTGGTATCTGCCACACCACGCAGTAGTGAATCCGAACAAGCCAGGGAAGCTGAGAATCGTCTTCGACGCTGCGGCAACATACCAAGGTGTATCACTGAACTCGAAGCTCATCACAGGTCCAGATCTACTACAAAGCCTTCCTGGGGTGATCATGCGCTTCAGGGAAGGTCTGATCGCTGTGACCGCGGACATCAAGCAGATGTATCATCAGGTGAGGATCCGGACAGAAGACCAGCCTGCATCGAGCTTTCTATGGCGAGATATGGAGCGACACCGCAAGCCTGACGTCTATCAGATGGAGGTGGTCATCTTTGGCGCGAAGTCATCACCGGCAACGGCCAACTACGTGCTGAGAAAAGCTTTTCTGGACCATGGAGCGGAGACAGACAAGGTTCTCAGCAGAAGTCCCGAGCAACTGGCAAAGTCGTTCTACATGGACGATTGCCTGTTCTCTTGCATGACGGAAGACGCCGCCAAACAGCTGTACGCTGACGTGAAGGAGGCACTGGAGAGAGGAGGCTTTCACCTTACGAAGTGGAGAAGCAGTTCCTCCGCTGTGCTGAAAGGCGTTCCAGAGAGTGAGAGAGCCAGCGCCTCTGCGAGCCTATGTCTCAGGAGCTCGCACACCGCTGAAAAGACGCTGGGCATCGCATGGGAGGAAGGCGAGGACACATTGGGGTTTCGTCTCCAAGCCAAAGAAGTGAGTGCAACCAAGCGTGGTGTGCTCAGCAAAGTGTCAACAATTTTTGACCCTCTGGGGATCGCTGCTCCTGTTACCGTGAGAGCAAAGATGCTGATGCAGCGACTCTGGTGGAAACATCTGGAGTGGGACGAGCCACTACCCGAACCTGAGCTGAGCCAATGGTTGGAGTGGCTGAGTGAAGCAGAGAAGCTGAACGAAGTCGTGATGCAACGCTGCGTGAACCCCAGCGGCCCAGGGACACTGCGACGCCAACGTCATGTGTTCTGCGATGCGTCAGAGAGTGCGTTCGGCGCTGTGGCATACTGGAGGACAACTTCGAGCGATGGATTACACCACTGTCGCTTCCTGATCGGCAAATGCCGAGTCGCACCACTGAAGCGACTATCAATTGTCCGTCTGGAGCTGCAAGCAGCCGTTCTTGGAGCGCGTCTGGTGGCTACCGTCCTCGGTGAGATCACTCAGCCGCAGGATGACATCTTCTGCTGGACGGACAGCAAGGTCATCCAGCAGTGCCCTGATAATGAAACTCGACGGTTCAAGACCTTCGTGGCCAACAGACTTGCAGAGATTTACGGGCTGACCTGCAACGCGTGCTGGCGTCGGAGTCAAGTGACGCACAGGTCATCTCGCCAACGAGAGGTCGAACCATCGACCTTTCCGTCTGCTCCCAGTGGCCTCGCCATCGAGGGGCTGGGAGAGACAAAACATAGGCATCTCCGCAACCGTGAGATAAACCAGCGGGAATTACACGATCCTGACACAACGCTATCAAGCACTGGAGGACCTAGGGTCCTCTGGAGGCTCTCCTGAGTCTCTCCATCTCCAACGTGGGAGGCATTAGCCTCCGCGAGCGCTGCAGCGGCCTCGGCGCACGCGGCGGTGGCCTCCTCGGCCGCCTCAGCACGGGTGGCGGCTACCTCCTCGGCTACACCAGCTCGGGCGGTAGCTTCCTCGGATGTGGCGGTTTCTGCTTGGGCGGCAGCGATTCGTCTAGCAGCGACGACGTCGCCAGTCGCCTTGGTGCGTCGGTGGGGATATACCACTGATCCCCATCATTAATCTTTGCTTAACGAAGTGGAAGTGTTTTTATTTTCTGTTTCATGTTATACTTGCTGGTGTTTCAAGAAATAGCATTGTATTTGTTGGAATGTGAAATGGTTTATATGTGTTAGCGACGCGATGTGTACGGCAGCACGCCGGTTACCTTTCGTGAGTGTTGCCCTGCAGTGCAACACGGTGCGGGGGGATGTTAGCACCGGCGGCTGCAGGCCGGGCCGCCCGGACCACCGAGCGGGCCATGTGGCGGCCGGCCGACCACGTGGCGCCTGGGGCTATGCCGGCACTGAGCTGGCCCCATAGCAAGCAGCCCGGTGATTGGCTGCTTGGGCTCCTGCCCTCGGGGCGCATGCGAGGTGACCTCGGGTCAGCGCGCGGTTATTGAGGGTAGTTCGCTCTGGATGCTCGGCGGGGAAGTGCTCGCTGTGTGGGTGGAAGTGGTGCTCTGGCTGTGGTGTGGTGGTGGTGCACAATACAGCAAGTGAAAATATCTTAACTGGTGTGGAGAGGAGCTGGACCAGTGGAAAAGGGGACGCGACAGTGAACAGCAGCGAGTCTTCTCAGCGTGCGAGTAGCCGATCATTTCCTTTCATCCGGGACTCATAACACGGCCTCTTCCGGGGTGTGTGAGGGAGGCGGCCACAGTGTCTCGCCATCGAGTCACTGAGCTTAAACTCGTTCCCCGGGTCTTGCCATCGAGGCTCGGGTGCGGGGTCTCCGCTCAGACAGGGGTGCGACCAGTCGGCTCCGGCTAACCTTGCCATCGAGGCGCCGGAGTATCAGTTGATCTGTCCGATTACAGTGGTCTCGCCATCGAGAGGCTGGAATCGGGCAGCGGCTGGCGTCTTCCTCACCATCCTGATCTACCCATCGCTCTCCTACAGTCCTTGTCTATCATCCGGCTAAATAAGTGTCGTTGGCGTGTGAAATACCAGAGGACACGTGGCGACAGTCAGGTCAAGGTCAGGTCAAGGTCAGTTCAAGGTCAGGTCAAGGTCAGGTCAAGGTCAGGTCAAGGTCAGGTCAAGGTCAGGTCAAGGTCAGGTCAAGGTCAGGTCAAGGTCAGGTCAAGGTCAGGTCAAGGTCAGGTCAAGGTCAGGCCAAGGTCAGGTCAAGGTCAGGTCAAGGTCAGGTCAAGGTCAGGTCAAATTAGGTCAAAGTTCAAAGTTGATATTTTTGCATCAAATTGGCATCGACTCCAGGTCGTCACGGGGAGTTCAATGGTGGTCTTTGTTTTGCCCTACGTGGTCTAGAATCGCTACAAATTGAGTTCAAATATTTGACGTCATCATTTTTGAACAGTTTTTTCGCTATAACTTTGCCAAAAAAACGAGATATCGATATGAAATTTGGTAGGTATATAGAAAAGGGCAGGGACTATCACATATATTCCGTTTTTTCCTAAATCCTAAATTAAAAAAAAATAGTTTGTCTTTAGAAAAATCATTTTTTTTATTTTTAGGGGTCAAAAACCCCAAAGTTTGAAAATCTTATACGGCAGTTTTGTAGCGCCGCTTTTTTTTCTACTAGACCGTATAAATAATTTTGAAATTGCTTGGTAACTGTAGATTTGCTGAGCGTTTCAAGATTGCATGTTTTTTGCTCATTTTTGCTCGAACATGACCTCAGTTCGACCTCAATAACTCCTGACCTAAGGTGACCTAAGACTTGAAATTTGGTGTGAATGTGTCAAATTGATGCCCGGGAAGGAACTAAAAATTTGGCGGCGCTGTGCGCCTCCGTTTTCTTGTTATTCAGGAAAAACCAAAGGGGGCCAAATTGCCCCCCCCCCAACGGGGCGAGGGAATTGGGTATCATCGGCTTTTCCTCGTCACGGGCAACACGCTCGTTTTTTCCGCGAAGCTCTAGCTCGATCAGGGGCCAAACGGCAAAGGGGGGATCCAACCGACCCCCCCCTTCCTACACATTAGAAGGTGGCAAACGCCGCACACATGCGAGGGTTTATCCACGTGAGTGAATAACGGCGGACGCCGTGCCCAATCTGTGTTTCAGGTCGGTCACCTGATCTCGATAACACCATGGACCACCACCGGCAGTGTCCTCCTCCTCAGCCGTCAGTGTCAGTCACTTCACTCCAGCACCGGCTCCCACAGCTGCTGGCGCCGCTCCAGCACCGGCTGCCACGGCTGCTGGCGCCGCTCCAGCACCGGCTCCCACAGCTGCTGGCGCCGCTCCAGCACCGGCTGCCACGGCTGCTGGCGCCGCTCCAGCACCGGCTGCCACAGCTGCTGCTGCTTCTGCTGACCTCCGCCGTCCACTCCGCCGCGGTGACGTTCCAGCTGACCTCCTCTGACCAGGCCTCCTCACTGACCCCCGTCCTGACCTCCCCCGGCGACCGGCCGCTCACCTGCGCCCTCCGCTGCCTGCGCACCACTCCCTGCGTCTCCTTCCAGACATCCGCCTCCTCCTGCGTCCTGCTGGCGGAGGTGCCGTCCGCCTCCAACCTCACCGCCTCCCCCGGCACCCTGATCTTCACCAACTCTGACCTGCTGGATGGCAGGATCCCCCAGGAGTGTCCCCTGACGTGGACCAGGATCGGGAACGCCTGCTACACCACTGACGCCGTCAGCACCTCGTCGGCGCTCTGGGAGGAGGACGCCAGCTACTGCAGCAGCGCCTACGGCCCCGCCGCCTCCCTGCCCACCTTCGAGACCGAGGAACAGTGGGGCTACTTCGTCTCCAACATCAGCGTCCGCGTGTGGTTCAACATCCGCTACACCGACGGCGGGTTCCAGATGCTCGGTGGCTCCAAGTCCACCTTCTGGTCCTCCAAATGGGGTGTGGATGAGCCGGGCTCCACGGACGACGGGTTCGCCTACTTTGACGCGCGGAGCGGCGTGATGAGGGCGGTACCGCTGGATGTCGGGGCCATGCCGAGGCCCGAGGTGGTCTGTATGCTGTACGCCGGGGAGCCGTAGTGGGTAACGGAGATTGGCGGGAATGCGCTAACGGAGCTGCTAAACTGGGACACGGATCAAACGAGCTGCAGAGATTGGCGGAAATACGCTAACGGAGCTGACTGGTTGCATTGGATATTCACGGAGATAGGTACGCTAGCGGACCTACACAACGTCCTCGTTGATATACCTACGGAGTTTCAGGCTAACGCAGCTGCATAATGTACTGCATCTAGATCTAGGGATATCTACAAATTACGCTAGCCTAATTCAATAACTACATTGTACACGTACTGAGGTCTACAAGCTACATTCATAGTTAAATACCTTCAACGAAGCACATAACCTGAAGGATCTGAGTTAGACATGCAAAAAACAAGGCTAGCTCGTAGGGAAAATGCATACAGATTCGATGACAAATGTAGGAGTGTAAGAAAATGAAATGAAAAGTGGGTAGTTTTGCCTGGATTCCGGGTGGCGCAATCTCCGTTTGATGAGGCAGAACCTAGTTCAGGAACTGCAGGCCTGTCCGTGCGCACTGTCCCACTGCTCGGAACAGCCCGTGTCACAACCCTTTGTGTTTATTGTTTGGCCTCACATATCGTTTACATTTCTTTCGATAATAAATATTGATCATACTGCACTCGGTGGTAACTTGCTGCCCACACATCCACAATAACCTAAATAAATTCGTCAGCAAAACAATTAGCAATACAGCACAGAACTAGTAGTTTCACATCCGTGTCCTAATGGCCGTGCCACAAAGCGATTGAGCAGCGCATACAACTTCAGACCGAGAGGAGCAGCTTCACACTGCCAGCAGCAGCCAGTAGCAGCCAGTAGCAGCCAGTAGCAGCCAGTAGCAGCCAGTAGCAGCCAGTAGTGGCCAGTAGCAGCCAGTAGCAGCCTCACTGACTGTAGCAGCCAGTAGCAGCCAGTAGCAGCCAGTAGCAACTAGCAGCCAGTAGCAGCTTCACTAGCTGTAGCAACCAGTAGCAGCCAGTAGCAGCCAGTAGCAGCCAGTAGCAGTCAGTGACCTGACATTGACCAGACAGGACAAGGGTCGTATAGCCGCTCAGCAGGCTTCAAGGGTCGCCTAGCCGCTCAGCAGGCTGCCTCAGATCAACAGCACGTCACATAATCCAACAACGAATATCAGCACAGTGGATCTCCGACTCTCCACTCCGCGGTAGGGCACGGGGCACAGAGGTACATACAGCGAGAGAGCGAGACAGATGTCTGCTGTCCAATGACGTCACACGGTGTCACTCGCACGCTATATAGAAGATGGCCGATTTGTGGCTACCGTGGCCGTGCATCGGCCGCATCTCCGAGCTGACGTCACCTGAAATGACGTCAATATGACGTCAGAAGACAGATACAGACAAGATAGATCCGTGTCACCACTATTGGTTGGTTAGGCACTGTTCCATGTCGTTATACCAAAACAAACGGCACACCAACAACACACAAAGCCTTGTATTGGGTGACAAGTTTATCTACTGCCATACTTATTCAACCGTTTTCCTGCTACAACCCTATCAAATCGTGTGCCCGTGTCTACCAATGGATCAGACAAGTTCAACCCAGACGGGAGGTTCCCGCGCGTATTCAGGAGCCGCCCTGACAGGACAGCTTCGTGCGCTGTCTGTCACAGTGGTCTGACGTAGGTAGGCTGTGCCGCAATACACGCCTGTTCGGCGGCACAGCCTACCTGTGCCGCAGCGCCGCGGAGACGGACATACTGGGACTGGTGGCGGCGGGTTCCGGACAAAAAGTCAAATGATAAAAGGTAAAAGGATGATTAGTCAACAGACATTACGTCAAAAGCAAGAAGTCAAAAATCTTTAAAGTCAACAGGTAAAAGGTCAAAAAAGAGGAAAGTCAAAAGGCAAAAAGTTAAAAAGGATAAAACGTCAAAAGATAAAAAGTTAAATTGCCAAAAAGTCAATGAACAAAAAGTCAACTAGCATAGAAGTCAAAAGACATAAAGTCAAATGGACATAAGGTCAAAAGACAAAAAGTAAAAACGGCAAAAAGTCAAATTGCCAAAAAGTAAGAAGGACAAAAGTCGAAAGACAAAAAGTCAAAAGTACAAAAAGTCAAAAAACAACAAGTCAACCGGGTATGAAGTCAAAATAAAAAGTCAAAAGGTCAAAAAGTCAAAAAGACATATAGTCAAAGTCCAAAAAGTCAAAAGGACAAAAAATCAAAGGGACAAAAAGTCAAAAGGACAAAAGTGAAGAGGACAAAGGTCAAAAGACGAAAAGTCAACAGGACATAAAGTCAAATTACGAAAAATCCAAAGGAAAAAAACTAAAATCCAAAAACTCAAAAGGACAAGTCAAAGAGACAAAGTCAATGACACCTGGATCATCAGTCATTACATACGAGATACATGAGATACATGAGATAACATTTACAAACAGCTGTACACAATTAAGCAGGATGCTGCACAATATAGGTAACCTGCATCATTGGACATTGAAGCGAGACTGCCTCCATTGCGCGACTGATGGACGATGGTTATTCCCATGGCCCACAACTGCGACTCAGCTGGTCACACAGGCATGCTTGGCTGAAATCTGACACACATTCGTTGACACTTACGTGCTAGGTGGGAGCTCGCTCGCATCGTAAGGTTGTCATGAGGCAGCGTTACATGATCCTTCGAGACAACTGGCCGTCCCAGGCGCAGTTTACTGGAATTATTTCAACAAATATAGTAACCCGGAATGTTATCGATACGAAAGGCTCGCTTGTTCAAATTTCCTTTATTGTGTAGGGAGACGTTTCTCATCAATTGATTCCGTCACGGGTTCTATAAGCGATTTCACACTTTTATTATAGTTCAAGCGTATTGTACAATTGGTACGTATTGTATGGTACAATTGGCACAATAGTAAAGCGCGTCGTTTCTTTAAGATAGGTGGAAGTTGAAACGAGAGGCAATTGTGTGATTGTCGGATTGTCCTGCCTTGAAAGGAACGCTCATATCAGCATCAACAGACAACAACCTGTTAATATTCACGGACTGCATATAATGGGGTTGGGAACTCGATTTTTTAAGAGAATGCATGAAAATGATCAAACTATTTTCACAGAATTTATGGTGCATACCATTGCCTCATAAAATCAATAAGCTGAGAGAAATGGGGGAAGAAAAATAGAAAACTTGTTTTGAAAAGTTCTTGAAAAAGATGCTCTTGATGCTGTTACGTCACATGTCACCTTCTGCGGTTGACAAATAATGGCGCATCTGGCGCACCACAGATTACATGTTATATCAATGGGTGAAAGATGTTGTTTGCTTCACTCTGCCATTCGCGCTGTTTTTAACTTTAAATTATGCTAAAACATTTACGGATGAAATGTTCAGTGTCAAAAATTGATGTGTCTGCCGTGTACTATATTCCCACTTAACATGAGCGCGTGATAAACATTTTATGTACCTTGAATTTTCAAATGATAAAGATGATGAATCGGAGGATGCTGAAAAGCAAAAGCTCATTCCAATATTTGGACTACTTTACGATTAAAATGTTTACATTTCTGTCATCTTATTGATTATTTATTTGTTCTTTTTTATGAAAATAACTTAAGGCGTTGAGAACCGAGGTAATTTCTATCTACCGTGCCTTAACTTACCAGCAACAGCAATCTATCTACGCTCTACGGTGGCAAGGGAGACTGTGAAAGAAGCGTAAGATGGATTCTAAACAATTCTTTTGTGATATACTGAAGGGCAAAGTGCAGAGAAGAGCGTACAAGTCCTGTTTTGTGCCAGGCTGTTGCAGTAGCACTTATGAAACTCCGAAAACGATCTTCGTTCATGTCCCGAACAACATTACCCTGAGGAGATGATCGTCTGCAATAGCAGGAAGAGCTGATGCAAGTACTTTGAAATCCACTATCAAGTCGGTGCTATTGTTGTAATGATCACTGTGAGGTGAGATATTTTGTGCAAGGGCTGAGTGTAATGCCCAGGAAATGACCTCCATTCGCCCCCTGACCGGTCAGGGTTATAAAATTTGAGTGGATGGCGGTCCGTTTGGGGTTCAGATGTCAATTGTATTTGGTTACTGTCAAACAATACATGTTATGCTGGCAGCGAATGTGTGTAACGTCGTTTTTCGAAACAGAAGTTGGAACTGTAACGGCAGAGTGCTTGCTGGTCTCATCGTAAGTATTGTAAGTGTTGTAAGCAAAAGCATTGTCAATATTGTAAGTATTGTGAGCATTGATGTATGGTAGATATCACCTCACATGATCTCGGCTCAGATAACCCTCTCCGGTGTCCCTGTCAGTAAATGGCACCTGGATCATTACAGATAAGATAATTTGTCATAATTCTTAAAGAATTGGGTGGTTTTGACTCGTTTACTCGAGGTGCAGGTCGCATTTCAATACTTTTCCATAGGCTTGCAATGTAAAGGTCACGACTCTGACCTAACCTCAGGTCACAGATAAAAAATTCTGAGATATACAAACGACACATACTGCAGGTACTGTTTTGAAGACTTGATGAGAGGAAATAACTTCGTGAAAAACTCAAGCTCTGACGTGTTTGCAAACTTTTCTGAGGTGGGGTCAACAAACCCGCTCTGGTTACCTGACCTGACCTGACCCGGCATTTTTTTTTTTTTTGCTGAGATGTGCGCAATGAGCATTTAGGAAAAGTCACCAAATATGAGCTGAATGTCTCGCGGCGTTTGGCAATTGTACAAGAAAATCCTGAAAGGTCTCCCCGTCCGAAATAGGGTTAATGTGTATATGAAGAGTTGCAGATGCCAAACATACCCAGATCTAAGACTGCAGTTCCCAGCGCCGCTGCAACGTTTTTAAAACAAACATACATAGGACATACAAACATGTTTATTTGCATCTGTTTTGGATAATAGCAACTCATGGCGCCATCACCCGCGATAACTGTTAGGATTTGAGATATATTTTTATTTAGGCCATTAGTTTGGCTGTAATGTTTATTAATATTAGTTGGGCGGAGTTTGGTAGTTTTTTAT